GTAATCGTGCTTGATGTGTTTCACGAAAGTCATTTAAGATCAAGCAAAAACGTAACAATTCTGTTAAGAAATCTCAGTTTCCGTGACGGGATTGGACAAGGACACACTAGGGATACATACACCACCAAATAATGACCCAAGTTGCAATGACGACAACGTCTTACGTCGTGATGAATTGTACTCTTCACGCGAATGATAATGTTAGTTACTGCATGTGTACTTTGTTTTTCTCTGTTGTATTACACGATTATTCCTTATTCCACAAAACAGTTGCTCCATTAAACTGAACAGGGTCATTATTTCCCTGTAGCTGTCGCGATTAAACGTGACTACACAAATGAAGAAAACACAAAATTTAAGCAGGCCTCGACGGGATTCCAACCCAGGCCTCGCAAACGCTAGTAAGGGTGCTACTACCAACTGAGCCACGAACCCTTATGTTGGGAACGAGGCAAATTTGACTACGTAGTTCACTGTACCATGCCGTCCACGCGCCTACCTTCTCGTATCAGATAAACTGACGAGCGAATGATATTCGATTATTAGCATTGTGCAGTTCTTACGACAAGTTAGGAAACCACTTTTTTCTTCTTGCTGGTTCCTCTTTCACTGATTCAACTTAAATTACATGTTGCGAGCTACAAACAGATAACATAGACTCCTTCACTTAAAGGCTGACGAACAATACCGACTATTAGCACGATATTTTGTCTCCAACTCACCATTCTCTCGATGTAATCCGTGTAAAATAATGCCTTTGGGTTTCGAAGCTTTGTGGTAATCGAAGTCAAGTATTCTTGATGAAGCAAAACAAATATTAAAGGACATCTACGGAGACTTTCTTGTGTCGGCGAGAGGAGACTTTGAATCACTCATGAAAAACCAACGCACATACATGCACCTTTTAAATATTGGCTGAGACAGCACAAATATTCCGGTACCTTAAGCAGGTACGCTCACTCTGAAAGCAAAACACATTTCAAAATATCCGTTAATAACATTTCTGTGGTTTAAAATTACGATTCTAGATCTTAAGGAACAAGGAAGTTGGATGGGATTCCGCATTTTGTCCAGAGTTTTTTCTTATAAACGACCGTCAGTGTACGTAAATAACTCTGCTCAAAATCAAAAACAACATTAAAAATATCTTTGTGATGTATTTGTGGTTCGTAACTACGATTTTAGATCTCAAGGAACTCGGAAGTCGTTAAGAGTTAAAGATTCTGTGAAGAGTCTTCGAAGCGGAAGACATTCCGTTGAAGAAATTATCAGAGCAGAATTAGGAGTGCATCTCGCACGAGTAACTACCTGATTGCAGGACTTAAAAGGAAAGCATTTCTTCTGTACCTTACTGGAGAGGCAACCATTTTTAAGCTCGACTTAAGAATGCGTTTTAGAGACTCAACGACGACTTGCGAAACTCGCGTCCCACAGGTAACGAATAAACACGTACAACAGACAGTCAAAATGTTGTTTTGACTTTGAAGTGCTCTATTGTAAATACAGCTTTAACATACATTCTAAGACTCGAATCTCATAGCTTTTAAAAAAAATCCGTCATGAAAAGACATTGCTAACATAGATGTCGTATATTATATATTGGATATGTATTGTTCGAGGATAACTGTTATGTTGTGCGATTCTTGTAGATAACATAGATATAAAATGATTTTTGAAAGCTATCTTGAATTATGCAAAAGTCATGTGCAAGTCTCTGAAACTATATTGAAATAAACAGCATTCATCACTTCAGAGGGCGATAAGCGTTTTAAAATGAAATCAAAACTTAATAAATTTGTTCCTGTTTATTAATACGGTATGCTTATTTTGGGGCATTTTAAATAGTGTGGTCTCGTCTCGTCGGCCGAAAAACGTCGGTTGCTTTGATAAGCTAGAACTTCCGTATAAATGAAAAAAATTATTTAATGTGTAATTAAAATATTTTTCGTCGGTTACGGAACACTGATAACTATTGATCGTAGCTAGGTCTTTCCACCTCTAGAAACTTCATAAATTGCTCTATAACTTGATAAACCATGGTTTGAAAGGATAATGCACTTTGAAAGTTTTTGTTGTCGGCTTTCTTGACAAATTGATTTTCTCTGACAAGAGTTTATGATTGTAAAATTTTGTCCCTGATCATGCTGAGAGCTTTTAAAATAATTCCAAACAAAGAAAGGCTGACACTTTGTTTGATTTCAATTACAATCTCATGTCTCCGATCATGCTGAGAGCTTTTACAGTGATTCCAAATAAAAGGGACCGGCATTTTGTTTGATGTCAATCTTTCCAGCTGAAGTCCGTTCTTTTTTCTTTTTTTTTTTTTTCCTGCAGTAGATCCCTGCAGTTCTCTCCCCCGACTTTTTCCCATAATTGTCTAATCTCTTTGTCGCCTGTTACGCTGAAGCAAACGCAGAGGTTGATCCTTTCACTCCACCCAAGATCTAAGTCTTAATTCTCCTTACTGTCTCGCGTACTTCTCTTTAAGTCATGTTCTGAGAATTTGGTTTTAAATCAAACAATATCCCTTGAATGATGCTAAAGTTTTCTACTCACAACGTTTCTGCATCATAATTCATTGAAATGGGAGAAATTACTTATTGCTCACCAGAGGGAGTGGAAAAAACAATGTGGTCATCTCGGATGGGTGAACAGAGCCGGCAAACTTCCTCGGAAAATGAATCTTTCAGAACAAGCATCTAGGCTACGACTTAAAAAGGTGCATGTTTACTAAATAAAGCTGTGAAATAATCCAAACAACAAAACCACTCTAAATGTTTAATTTTTGTACGTTTTTTTTTTTAATCATTTAGGTATCTGATTGACGAGAGTTGTCTAAAATGTTTTGAACAGACTAATTAGTGCCGATAGGGCATACTAATACTCGTCACGGTCAAAACGATCATTACAGCACAGTTGGTGGTCCCACTATGCAATATCAATATATATTCTCTGACGACAGAAGGCAATATAGCTAATTATTTTGTTTGTTGTCTCTTTGTCACACGCAGCAATTTTTAATCAATTTGAGCCGTGACCTCAGCTATGAAAACTAATTGACGTCAATATTGTTGTGTTCAAATGTTTAAGTAGAATAAAAAGAGCAAAATCATTATGACCTACGACAATAACTGTAATAATTTTTAAATTGTGTCTGGGCGTCTGGCTTTTGAGTGATGCAGACTGGCGCATTTTCAATATTGAATTTGTTGGTTCTGTTTATTCGCCGTGACTCAGCTCTTTCAACTTTCATGAATGTCGGAAAATCTCACGATTTTCGTCCCAATCAGACATTAGGAATCTTGAAAAAAAAAAAACAACAACAACGACGAAATTAAGCTCTAATCATGCAAGACTTGTTTGTTCACAAATTGTAATTATTCTAATAGCAATAAGAAATTATATAACAATCCATCGGGCTGGCCCTTCGATTGATAGGTTAACAAAGGGGAATGTGTGGGGGGCTTGATACCGTTTCACGTACGAATTTTATAACACGCGTCACGTGTACTTTAAACAGTATTTCGCAGGTCACGAATTGTAAAATACACGTGAATCTTGCCTTTCTGTAAAATTCACGTGTCCCATCTTAATTTTGGTCTGGATCACGCGTCGCTTATGAACTCTTTGCCATCCTCCATTAAATCACCATATAATATCGAAAAAAAATGTTGTAAATATACATTGTGTAGATAGTGTTAGAATGCTTGAGTCAAAACAATTGTTGTTCTTTCTGCTAAATCATTAAGCTTTCTCGTTAAATTTGTAATTTAAAATCAATATTAAACTTTTAAAAATGTAAGATATTTTTGTATGAAAATGAGGCTCTACAATATCATGAGCCTTAAAAAGTCTTTATAGAATTTTGAGGCTTTGAGTTCAATGTAATATGACTTTTTCGTAGACAAAATTTACTGGAACAGTCCTCGTCAGCGATTTTAGAGATGAAAGAAAATTAAGGTCGCACCATATACGAAATTAAAAGAAAATAAAAATTAGGAGGAAAAAAAAGGCGAAAACACGATCTATCAAGAAAATAAAGTTTCAAACAGTCCGAGAAGGAAAATTGGGGCTTCTTAATATCACAAGCTTATAGAAGTATTTTAAAATGGCTTCCAGTTCAAAATGATATGACATTTAACGTAAATATGATAAATTCTACTGCAGTTCGTTAGTGGTTAGTTCATGTTGTAGAGCGCCGGACTGCCGAGGTCGAGGGTTGAACCAGCACACAGGGTTTTAAAATAACTGAGGATAATGTTATTCCTTTACCATGGCATCTGCAAATGGTTAGACATTCTTCTCGGATGGAAACGATAAACCGTTAGAGAACCCATTCATTTCTAGCAAACGGTAGAGAAGAAATCCACTGAATATTGCAAATACATTTAAAATAGATTAAAGTGTAACCTTGTACCCCATTACTTTAATCAAGATCTTATAATGCGTGGTTATACTAATTCGCTCTAGGGGGTTATTTTTCAAGAAGCCTACGGCAGTGTCTGGGAGGTAATGATCCACTTAGACTTGGACTGATGTTATGACGCGTGACGTAACACATCCAAGCATGAGGTAATCATCCTATATTCAGCCTAATCTTTATCACGGCGTCGTGCCTGAAGAACAAAGAGTGTTAAATCCCATCTCAGACGAAAATGTTACCTTCGCAAGTTCCAATATTTCTTTTTTATCGTGCGAGTAAGAATCAAACCTTCTCAATCTCCTTGCTCACCTAAATGAAACCTAAACAAACATCATCAATGTCAGACATAGTTTGATGCTACACTGGTTTGCAGATTTAATGAATGTAACCGAAGAAGTTACAATTCATAGACCCAACGTTTCGACACTCCTGTCTAGTGCCTTCATCAGGGGTGATCTAAACGCTGCAACAAGAGGTCCTTTTATATGATCACTAATTAGCGGCCTTTTTTTTTCTTTTCTGACGAGGTGTAAATAGGCGTCAGGAAGCAGACCGCCATCGTCACGATTTAAAGGAGGAACCTAAGGATCCTGTCACAAAAGAACAACGAACCGACGCCATTTATTATATTCCTTGCAATGACTGTGACAACGAATACATCGGACAGACCAAACGCCAGTTTGGTACACGGTTAAAAGAGCACCAAAAAGCGGTTTTTCTTTGCAAAAAGGAAAATTCAGCTTTATCGGAGCATACTTGCCTAACCAACCATACAATTGGGTGGGATAATTCTAAAATTATCACCACTAATCGGCGTTACCACCAGCGCCTTTGTTTGGAGGCTTGGCACATTAACTCCGCTCATGCTCCTTTAAATCGTGACGATGGCGGTCTGCTTCCTGACGCCTATTTACACCTCGTCAGAAAAAAAAAAGGCCGCTAATTAGTGATCATATAAAAGGACCTCTTGTTGCAGCGTTTAGATCACCCCTAATGAAGGCACTAGACAGGAGTGTCGAAAAGTTGGGTCTATGAATTGTAACTTCTTCGGTTACATTCATTAAATCTGCAAACCAGTGTAGCATCAAACTATGTCTGATTGTCCACCTGGTTGCCGTGTGAACTTTAATATATCATCAATGTCGTTGTACTTATAAAATATTTTTTGTTTGAAATGGGTTCACCAAGAGTATTATCTTTTCTGAGGTTTTTATTCGGGTGAACAGAAAAATATATACATATACACTTAGGGTCCCAGCTCCAAAAATATGGAGGACGACATCTTGATTTCTGCGCATGTCTGGGATCGCACAGTTCATTAAATCGCCATATAAGGCAAATTGAATCCAGTTTGGCTTACGAGTGGCTCGAAAATGGCTAAATATGTTGAAAAGCTTTGTTGCCGGCGAGAATCCAAGTAAAAAGTTTAACCTGGTTTAAGAGTTTTAGCTATGAAACGCAAATAATTTTCAATTCTTTGCCTGTTCTTTTTCGCAAAAATACAGAAACATCAGGATATTATAAACATAATATCTTGGCAATATTTTTTGAGTGGGTGTGAAAATACTGACGTAATGTAGAGACAGAAAAAGCAAGAATTTAATTGCAGTCTTTCGAGAAATATGTCAAAACAGAAAACTGATGCTATCTTTCGCAATCCGTGGTATCTCTGCTTTTAAAGGAGGCATAGATGGAAAGCCGGGCACGTATGTGACAACGAAATGTTTGTTTTATATTTCTGAAGTAACAAAACGAAGATTTCCGTTTGGAAATTAGGAGAAAATTTGCAGCTGTGCACTGATTTGAATAAACTGTTTACCACATAATATTTTGATAACGCTCAAATGGCAGGTTATTTGCTTATTAACTTTGCCTATCAGTCGAGTAACTTAATCAAAAATTTCAATTTTGAATGGGTTACAACCAGTGCAGAAAATTCGAGAATTGCACCAAAACGTGTTTCTCCTAATTAGTATGCACGAAAAAAAATCAATATCCTCTTTACGGATGCCGGAAAAAATCATTTTCGGGCGAGATGCCGCCAGAAAGGAACAAAAGCGGAGTCGACGTTGTTCTGAAAATTAGTCTTCAACATGAATACAGTGATTTGAATAAGGATGTTGTCACTCAGAACCTTTTAAAACTCTTCAGTCTTGCAAATCTCCACCAGTTGGTGGAGGAAACTCTATGATCAAAGAGCAAATTAAACTCATTGTTAGTTGGGTTAAATTTGATGATTTCACTTTGACACGAAAACTCACAAAACTGAAGAAAATTTAACCATACATCAATCACTTGTGGGTAAATTTGGCGCTTGTTCAACATCAGCAAGAAAAGGTTATCTGATACACAAAAAAGTTTAGCGATAATATCATGGATTTCGACGAAACATCAGAAGAAGCTGTCACAACGATTTCTATGATAAAAAACATGACTTCCACCCAAAGAAGGCTCTCTGGTTTGAAGCCATCCTCAGTACTACCTCTGCGAAGTTCACCTAACAGATTTGACGCCAGGCGAGGAAGCCCAAGGCCCCTGAGTAACCAGGAGAAGTTTTGTGTTAAGCCAACAAAGGTTTCCAATCCCTCCTGGCCAAGTATTGGGGTAACTTTAGCAAGCAAGGAGTTCAAAAGAGGACTTGAGCGCAAAAAATTAAGGCAAAGTAAAAGTGAAATGATCGTTGATGACTCCAATACACGCATCATTCCACGAAATACAGATTTCCCGCAAAGGGACAACGCGCGGTTGGCAGTCTTGAAATCAATTCTTTCCAAAGAAGGTGATGCCACATACAAATCAGCTGACACTGTCCCGGAGAAATTTTCCTCTGCCTCGAAAAATTCGAGAAAAAAGCCTCATCCAACATTCCCAGCGGCAAAAGAGGGCACATTTTATCCGCTGCCTTTACTGTCAGTCGTGAAAATCAATCCAATTCATCGCCAAGCATTTCTTCCGAAGAGCAAAGTGACGCCTTGCCAAATGAAATACTTCACTGATGCAGGACCTCCACGGCGCCATCCCACCCGTTACTCTTCAGTTTACGATTTACGTCAAATGAAACAGGAATAGTGATTTTAACACATAATAATTGTGCATGCCTTGCAACATCGCTAAGAACAAACTATCATGATTTTGTTAATTCACACAGTATTGTATCTCATGGATAGAATCGCATGTAATTCGGGAGAGAAGTGGCAAGTAAAAGTGTTATATTCAAACACTTCTGGTACTGGTCACTGAAACTTTTTTCTGCAGGCAAACAGTTAAAGGTGTTGAAATTTTAGGAAAAACTGATTCGTTATCGCACTTCAAGGCGCCACAAATAAGCTGAATCTTTATGTTAGAATCGTTTTAAAAATAAATAGAAAAACATTTTGAGATGTTAACTCATATTTGAGGCAATTCAATAAAAGATTTTGCACTGTAAATAAAGATCAAACCATGAGTTACTAAATGCGACTCCTTTTCCTATCATTTATTTGATGCTGTTGGCTAAAAATATCATTTAATAGCATGTTCAACTCAAAAATTCTCGATGAAAATTAACAATTTTCGGTGCGAGTACGCGCGGCATCTGAAATCCTTTGTCGTATTTGAATTAGCAAAGTAATTAAAAAAACTGATTTCATTACATTGATAAATCCCAGATTAATCAGAGCTTTGCATTGCGCAGTGCAACAAAAAAAAAACATCAACAATGTGTTAAATGCGCTTCAGATCAAAATGCAGTCGGTACGTTTAAATTTGTTCCTGAAAAAAAATCATCGTGCAATTTAACAATAAATATTCTTTAAAATAGATAATTTGACTGTCGCTACACTGAAGGAAACCCAAGTTTTATCAAGCCACCGAGATATGAAAGTGTCAGATGGTACGGTAATATTTCAAATCTATGAACATTGGAGGGATTGCGACCGGCCTGACTGGGAAAATTAGAAAGGTCCGTGCACACAACTGGAATGTTTTGAAATGGGTTTTTTCGGTTTGATTTCTCTGAGTCTCACACGATGCGCCGCTTCTGTCGAACAGTACTATTCCTAGTACTAAGATCCTGTTTATTAACGTTTCTAATGCAGGGGTTTCGATAACTTTTTCCACACGCAGCTGCTGATCGTGCAGTAGGCTGCTGTGCCGTGGGGCCAAACTCTGTCAAACACGGGAGCCTGCTCGACGGTTTAAGAGACAGCGGTGAGTAGGCGATAACCGGCTTCACCAATACAGGGGTTCCATTTTAAAACGAAAACCCCTGTATTGGTGAATTTAATCGGTCGTTCGGAACCGTTTCATTTTTCACTTACATAATGCTGTTCTTGAAAAGCATATCACAAATCAGTATTAAAAATGCGCAGGTGTTTTTAACTGATGTTACCGCCAACCTCGTTTCCAGATTCCATCTCCTTTCCCACTCAAGATGGGAAGAGGGGCAGGAATAAAAGAGAACTGGAAACAAAGGTTTTCGTCGTCATCAGCCAATGAGGACTAAAAGTAAAAACAGGCAAACCGTGACACGGTTGGATTTTCGTTTAGCGTCTGATTGGTTTAGAGGATGACGCAAGTTTTCTGGACCAATCACAGACCAAAGTAAAGCGAAACCAAAGCAATACCAATTGAAAATTGGTCAATTCTTACTACTTCACAAACATCAAAATAACACTATTATTTTATATAATTACTTTATTGCACAATGAACACTTCGTAAAAATGAACAATAAAAAGCGAGCCTAATTCTTTTCCGTAGCTGAACGTTTTCCTCTGAAAAAAAAAAAAGATAAATAAAAAGTTAATTAATAACAGCACTACTGAATGGGAAAAGAGCATCTTCATAGGCCAAAACGTCCGTCAAGCGGAACATAAAAGACAACTTAAAGATCCTAAAATATACTTTTTCACAGAAAGTCAGAATCATGCTTCTTTCTTCCTCGGTCATGTGGTTTATTGTTAAAGAAGGAAGGGAGCGTTGGGAAACTAGCCTTCATTATCAACTCACCGGCGGGCCGCGATGTTGCTCAGGAGACTGTTGCCGCCCAGGAATGTGAGACCACCAATGAGAGCCAAGAGTTTAAGAGTGGTGAACATGTTCTACACGTAGAGATAAAGAACAAACGCCGAGTTGTGCAAAAACTTGTTTCACAACTGACCAATCTCAAAAACGCAAAGAAAGCAAAGGGCCAATCAGAAGGGACACAGATACCACGCGCGGAAAAAGGGCGCCAAAAATAAAATAATTGCTGTGTGGAAATGGCGCGAAGTAGCAGAACGGTTACACGTGAAAAAGGCACGAAGTAACAGAAAATGACGCAAAGTACCAGAATGGTTACTACGAGTGAAAAAGGCAAGAACTGGGAGATTTGTTGCGCGGGGAAACGGTTCAAAACATTTAAACAGCCCTAAAAAAAAACGTGTTTTATAGTTAAAAAAATGCCTCTACGTTTTAGGAAAGACAAAAAAGTAATCAACTTGGACGACATTGTCTGTGAAACTTTCATACACGAACATTTGCGTTTTTCCAAGAATCTCGTCATTTTTACGGCAATGAACATAACTTGCAAAACTACTCGAAACAAGTCTAAGTCATCTCTGATTAAGTCAAGAAATCTTATTTACAAAGAGAAGTCTCGGTGGAGAGGAAATTTTCTCTTCAGTAGCATTCTAAAATCGCCAGTCTCATTGAAAAAATTGTTTCAAACTGACGACAAATTGAAAAGAATGATGCAAGTTCGTCAAGTTTAGCTGAAGAAGCAGCACAACACTTACCAGGCTGACGAAGAAAAGGTAATAAAGGACAAATATGGCTGAAAAGAAAATTCAAAGTGAAAAAACAGTTACTCCAATCCATGAAAAATCAACGAAAATTTCAGAAAATTGAAAACAGAGCGCTTTTCGATTGAGTGTCGTAAAACCAAACCTAAATAGTCACAACAGCCAATAGGAAGACAGGAAAATACCTTTAAGAGCCAATGAGAACTCAAAGCAAAAACCAAACTGCCTAAAGCGCAGGAAAACGCGGGCGACCAAGTCGAGATTGGTTTTATTTTTGCATCTGATTGGTTGAGAGAGTGGCGCGAGTTTTCTGAACCAATCACAGAGCGAAGTAAAGCATTCAATTGAAACTTGTTCAATACCATACAAAAATGTCAGAACTTTAAAGCTAACAACTGTAACAACTGCGACAATGAAGGAATGTTTCTTTCTGAATATTTCTGGAGATATATATCTCGGCTTCCAGTGTTTCCCTCTCTACTTGGATAAACCAAACAGAACTTCGGGTTTTACATAGTTGTTGAAAGTTTAAACTTACCTCCCAAACCCAAATGGAAGACTATTGCCCCAAGAGAAAATGGAAAATTGGAGATGTTAGCTCCGAGCTTTATCCACTGCAAATAAAACAAAATAAATGCCTCTTAGTAGAGTTGCTAAGGTGATCATGGAGATTCTCGCGCTCTGATTGGTCGAACATTGTGTCGTATCTCGCCATAATCACCTTACGCTGAATTTAAAAATGTCTGCCTCGCGTTTTGTCAATGTTACCGAGAAAGTGATAAAAGCAATAGAAGACATTTCAATTTAGCAGAGCACAAACGATGTTACTACCTCGGGCTCTGTATATATTGTGTAAATATCATCTCCTGGTTAGTCAAGAAATCTCACAGTATCAGAGAAGTCTCGGTGGAGATAAGATGTTTTATGTCGCATCGCTCCAGCGTCGTTAGCTAAACTGAGATTAACACTCATAGACTAACAACAAATGTGACCAGGTTGATGCAAAAAAAAAAACACGGCTTTTCAAACATGCTTGTATGAAAAAATCGTGAAACAAGACAACAAAGTGACTCAACGGGGTCTTAAACCCAGAACTCTCTCTCTCGGGGGTCCAGTGCCTAGTCCACAGGGCCACTGCCATACCCATAGCGCTGATCTTATTTTTCATAGTTTTGTTGACATTGGAAATGCTCTCACGAATTTGGCTCACACATATCTCCATGCAATACTCACAACAATCAGCATAATAGCTAGAGGAAGGAACACCAGGGCAGTGAAAGCTGTGGAAACGGCTTTGGGAGGACGCTTCTCTGGAATACGGAACATGTGCTGAAAAAGGGAATTATATGATTTAGCTGAATAATACGCGCAACTTGATTGGTTAGCACATATGATGAATTTCTCTCTGGTTTTTCTTTCTAACTGTTCACCATGCAGTTTATCTTCGCCTCATTGCCTTTGACAGAATGTTGTAACCAAGAACAAATGCAAGAATAGCTTTACCTCAATTTCTGGTTTGGCGTGGTACATGTTTTCTTTGTCTTTGCCTGGTTTGGTTGGGTCATCATTGAACGTTAATGAAAGAACTCCCTGAAGAAAACAAAAAAGGTTTTAGTGAAAGAAAACATCAAAGAGCTTATGACAAATCAAAGTAGAACAAGAAAAATGATTGAAGCGCAGGAAACAGCGAGTGACCGAAGAGCCACTGATTTTACTCTTTAACTTTTCACACCCTAACATCAGTATATCAGTATGCATATTCTCCATACTGTTCTCTATACCTATCCTAAGGTGTTGACAGGGAGAATTCGTTTAACAATCAAGAGCTTCTTATGTTGGTGATCATTTCCTTTATTCTCATGACATTGACGTGTGATTCAAGGGTGATATTGTAAGGAGAAATTAGATGCTAGTTACTCTCAAGGGTCTATGGGTTAATCTTATGGGTTGGGAGAGTGAAGCGAGTTTTCCAACCAAATCCCATATAACTTCAATAAAATACCGAAACTGCGCACCACCTCGAAAGAAACAACTTGCTGGACTCCCAAAAACAGATCAGAGTTTAGATTAAATACTCACAACATTCCACTCAAAAGGATTCTGAATGACAGCGTCTCCAACAATGAGGTCCTGAAAAATAGAATGTCCAAGAAAATGCCATTCAACAAACTTCTGAAAACTGAGAACGAGAAACTAGTGCTATTGACGCGTCAAGCCACTCTGTGTTGGTCGATAGTTGCCGATAGTTGCCGACAGTTCGCCGACTGTTGGTCGATAGTTGACCGACGGTTGGCCGACGCATCAGTTGCACAGGATTCGCAATTTTTACCTCTTTTCATTTCTACCGGTTACTTTGTTCCAGTTTCTTCGACAATCTGGGCTACAAAGATGTAATGATTGAAGCCTACAGTGTCAGTTAATGCTTCTGGGTGTTCGGTAAAACAAACTCGTAGGCATAACAACAAAAAGGAAATCATCCAATCTCACCATCTTATATTTTCCAGACAGAGATCCAAAGGAGTCTTTTGCAGTAGCTCCCACATCCAAATCAAACTTGAAAACTCTGCTCTGCTCTGGTTCAGCGACAAAGAATATTTCTTGGTTCGTTTTTTGATTGGTGAGTCTGACAAAGGCCTATGGATGACAAAAGCAAGTATAAAAAAACGTTTACCTTTAAAAAGAGAGCTTCATTACGAAAATTCATAACACCCTGAGAATAAGTACACAGTGGTCACACGTCTGTGCATGTGCGGACGTTGTAACTACTAGGTGGCAAGCTTTCAGGCTTTCAGAACCAAGTTGTCTTACATGAGTTAAAAATTAATTGTTTCTTGATACTTTAAAATCTTATGGCACACTTTGGAGCGCTTTTCCGCAAATGCAAGCCATTACATAATCCCTTGAGTTGACAGTTCATCGTTAAAAGCAGCAGTTTTACGGTTTCTGGGTTTCTAACGGTTAACACACAAGCCAGTCACGATGTTTCAAAAGCTTTTAACTTTCTTGGTACAGCTCTTGTGAAAATGAAATCTGTAGATTCTATGTTTCCAATTCAACTCACCTGGTGCGGGGTGAACAGATCTCCAGATGACGAACTTTTTAGTGAAAATTTCATCACAACCTTCTGATGATAATCAGCTTCGATCACGCTACTGATGGCTTCAGGATGTTTGACGCTGAAAACGAAAAGAAATGAATGAATGAGTTCACAACTGTTTTAAAGAATTAGACCCAGTGGCTTGAGGTATTGCCGACACAACTCTACATCCTATTTATCAATGAAATTCTTTCCCATCTTTTAAAACTGAGAAAATTTTATTTTGTTGTCGAAAGCAAAACGGAATTGCCTTTGTTTTGTGATTGGTCTACAAAACACGCGTTACTGTCTCAACCAATCAGATGCAAAACCAACACCAATCGCGCCTTGGTCGCCCGCGCTTTCCCACGCTTTAGTTTTCCCGCGTTTCCCGCCGTTTGCTTGTTTGTTTGTTTTTTTTTCCCTTTGAGTACTCTTTGGCTCTCCAGGGTATTTTCCTTTCTTCAGTTGGGCCGTTTTGATAACGTTAGTTATATGACTTTACATTGAAAAGCGCTCTACACAGTACGCAAAATTCAGTAATGAGACTTTAATTGTGAAACACAAACTACCTGAGAGTCTTTGCCTTGATGTTTTGCTCTTTGTCGACGACCGACAACTCCACGTCTTCTACAGTCACCTTAGTGACAACTTTGACTTTAATCTGGAGCGAAAATAAAACAAGACTTTCCACCATCATTCTAAAATAAAATATTTTACCTAGGAAATCCTTGTAGAGTAAAAACAATGTAAATAGATTGTCTCTCTAAAAAGTCTCTCTCACCAACAAACCAGGATATTTTTACCAGAAATTTTGAATACTTTGTTTTCATTAGGACTAGGGCAATCAAGTTACAGCGGGGGAACGGACCAAAGTAATGAAAATGATAACGATGTTTTTATATAGCGTATTCTATCCATGAATATGCCCGAACATGCTTTACAGTACTTTTGCGAGCAACTTTGGTGGCAGCATTCAGCAGGATAGAAAGCTGAAACCAATTTAGGCATCCTTGGAAACTAGGTTTGACATAATACCAGAAAACAAGTTGGAACTAAAATGCGTACAACCAGTAAAGAAAAGATGCAGGATATGGGGCTTAAGGTTTATTGGCCTTATCCGAGAAGACTACATTGTCTAACCATTTGCAGATGTCACAGCAAAGGAATCACGTTTCTTAAGACCCCGAGTGCTGGGTTTTGAACTCCCTCGACTTAATAAATAAACCAGACGGGGTTTTGAGTAAATGAAAATTTGGTGACTTATTTGCATACTAAAAGAGGTCTTTCTACAACGCTTAACTGAAGCAAAATTCAAGTTGAGATGTCGGTATGAAAACTTTGAATAAAACTAGGACAAAAAAACAAAGAAAATCCTTTTCCGTCCAGCTGTCTAAATAAACCAGAAGATAAATCAATTGCACAATCAATTCAAGTTGAGATGTTGAATCACTGAGAAAATGTCATCCTTTTCCGTGGTTCAAGATCATCAAAGAGCAATCTTCCCCTTATGTTACACTGATTAAATGTCATCTCCTGGTTAGTCAAGAAATCTCACAGTATCAGAGAAGTCTCGGTGGAGATAAGATGTTTTATGTCGCATCGCTCCAGCGTCGTTAACTAAACTGAGGTTTACACTCATAGACTAACGACAAATTTAATCAGGTCGATGCAAAAACGAAAAAAAAGGGAGCTTTGTCTAAAAATTCAGCTGACAGATGTGCATGCAAAACAAATTTTTGCTACGTGTATGGAGGTTTATTTCAAGAATCTGTTTAGGAACCTGTCCTTTCAATACGAGTCAATTCAATAAAAAATGAAGTCGATTCGATTCGCTTATAAAATCAATTTGATACAGTCGATAAATAGTGGTAATAGGAGCGAGTGGAGTCCAATTTGGTCCGTAATCATACGAGGGATTAACAAAATCGGACTACCGCAACGCGGGAGTCTGATTTGTTGACGACAGACAGAATTGGACAACACGAAGTCCTGTTACCAATTAATCATAACCGTTGCAATTTCCGAATAAACCCTAACCCTAACCCTAACCCTAAGCAAAAATTCCTCCATTTTGGAAATTTGCCATTTTTTTTTTTCTAGATAAGTGATTGTCTCTATGGTTATTGTGATAATTCTGTGATTGGCGGATTTAGCTGAGTGGACTTAGTATGATTGGCTGCTTCGACTGTCCAATTACAGGTGTCCAATTACAGAAAAATAGAGCAGCTAATGCACCAATCACATTTAAGGAAATTGTAACGGTAATGATTAGTTGTGAAACATCACCTAACCTGATGCTGATTGTGTACACCCCTGGTCCTGGCCGTGACGTCATGAAGTTTAATTCATAGCTGGGTAAAAACAGAAAAAAATAAATAATCAAACCCTGTATCTTAATGAACAAACCACAGCAGAAATACCATAGATATTCCACAAATTACTTGGAATTTTTTTAACAGTTAAAAATCTTTAAAATGGTTAATGTTCTGATATTGTTAAAATTGGGTATTATAAGATTTTATCAAATTAAATATTTGAGAACAATTTTCAAGATATGTTTTATGCAAGTACATTCAAGTTTATTTTTTTTTCCTTTAAGAAAAATAGCTTTAGGTCCCTTTATTCAGGTTCTTTATTAGATTTTATTTACAACAAGTCTAAGCTTTATTACGGTTTTACACAATCAGTTGGCCTCAGGCTTTCTCCATAAGAGGAATTATTTTATTAAATAAATGTCCTTTCACTGTTAGCAGTTGGCTCCCTTAATGCTGTTCATAAAAATAAATGTCCAGATAAAAGGTTGAGCTAAACTGAGGATTGTTTAAGACGCGATTTTGATTAATTTGTTTATATTATCAGACCTAAGTGCTATTATACTCATTAATTTAGAGAGTTCTCTCTGAAAATTATAATAAGTTTTAAGGTTTAACAAAATGCTTATTAAATTTACGTTTTAAGATTTGGATCTCAGTTATTAAACACCCTTAACCTTTTAACTCCCGAGATCTGATTGTTAATTCTCCCCTCTAGTGATTACACATTACCCTGTAATTTAGTTTGGAGAATTTAGTGTTAGATTACAATAACAATTTCTGCCTGATAAGTTTAAGTATTCTCATTACCTATTTGCTGGATAATGTATGGATATTATTGGGAGAAGTTACATGTTAATCACTTCTGGGAGTTAAAGGGTTAAGGAGTGTTACCATTGTTACCTATGTGCTGCAAACATGCCACGCCCAAGGTCAGTCTCGATAACAATGAAGTCACTGTGGTAGGATATTTTTTATTTTAATTAAAAAAAATTGTTTAAGGATTAATTGCTTTATATCAAGGTTTAACCGGTTCATTTCCAAGTTCAACTTTTCTACATACGAAATCATGCCTTGGTCACAAGAAATAAAAATTTTAGTACAATCTCCCTTCTCCTCCAAATAATGAGCCTGTGAACATTGTTGGCTGGATGTAACCTTGATTTAAAAAAAATAATAATTTGATCAATTTAGTTTCACTACTCACTTGTCAGGTCCAGCAGTGAACACTTTGTTGCTAAGGACAGTTGTTCCCTCTGCATCTTCTGCAGATGTACCAGTGACTGTCATTTTACCAAAAGCCTTGTCCATGACATTAGTTACACGAACCTGAAGAAAAGAGTATATTTATGATATTAAATATAAAAAGAATTATTGGGGAGGGGAGGGGGAGGGAGGGATGGGATGCCAAATGCTTACTGACCAAAAACAGAAGATAAAAAGCCTGGGTATGAGTCACAGTAAATGGTCATGCAGGAATAAAGTTTAATAAATGGGGTAAGTTTCTAAAGAAACTATGGTGCTGCATCGGTGGGAGAGTATAACATCCATTGCTCTGACGCAGGGCTAACGCTCAAAACTTCAGCCTTTAAACTCTTTACGGTGGCCAGCTTATGTGTTATCAACTCAGTTGATAACACTAAATCTCCCAGTTAAAGTTTAATAAGACAGGTTTGGAAAAATTATTTCACTCAAATGTGTGAATACCTTGACCATTTTGTTGTCCTCTGAAACAACCGGAGAGCCATAAAACTGGAATACAACTGGCACATGGAACTGGAAAGAAGAGCAAGTAAATAAAGTCAAGATTTTCAGATCATCATATCTGACCACTATAATACCACTGTGTTCATTTTCAAAGTTAGAAAATAATTTAACAAGTTTGACAACAAAAATAGCTGCCAAAGGTAACCTAACAGATGATAAACGATGGGAATAAAGAAAAATATCAACTAGGGGATTACAAGTTGATCCAATACCAAATTCTCCAAACTAACATCACAAGAATTGTGTGGCAGACAATAAGGAGAATTACTAATGAGATCTTGGGAATTAAGGGGTTAAACACAGTAAAAGGGTTGAGTTGTTATACTACTGGTGTAAATCAAAGCAGGCTAATTCAGGCTTTTCAATAAATACAGCCCCCTCTACAACCTCAAACCAGCTTACTCTCATTTTTGGGTATCACCTAACAGCACAGCTGCAAATTACACCATTGATGGCCACTTATGGAAAAAATTATTGAAACTGCTGGGCCCAGTTGTTCAAAGGCCAATTAGTGCCAACACAGGGTTCAATTTTAATTCAGGTTTCTTTACTTCTCTGTTCAAAAGCCTTTTTGGGAAATTTTCCAAACTCTTTTTAGAACAGCCAACCATCACATTGTAAGCAAAAAATATTTAAACTCAATTTTCTTTTCAAGCTTTCAGATCTGAAATCAAATTTCACACTTGCCCTGGGTTATCTCAACCCAGCTTTAAACAACCCAGCCCTGATACATGAACTAAAAGCACACCACAAACCCTCTCCAAACCACCTGAGACAAAAATCTTTAAATCTGACTAAAAAAAAAACTACAAAAAAACAAACTGTGCTCACTGCATTGTTGCCAAGCTTGTCCAAGGTTGAGAAAAGAACACATGAGTCCTCCACAGATTGAACATGCTTCCTTGTAAGAAGATAGTTGGTAAACTTGATGACTTGTTCCTAGAAGATGAGCATTGCAATCAAACACAGTACATGTGTTTCAGTGAAAACTGCTGTTAGGTAACATATTACTGTTAGACATAACTCTTACCACACCTGTTGGCGAGTTTAAGGTTCATATTGCAATGTAAGGATTTTGCACTTGGATTTATGTCAGGTGCAAAGCACACAGGCTATAAATGTGAACAAAAAATTTCCATAACTAACAGTTAGGAACCAAGAAAACAAGGTTAACCCTTTAACTCCTAAGAGCAGTTGGCATCTAAATTCTCCCTACAATGTCCTCCCTGAATCAAACATTTAACTCATGAGAGTACAGGAAATGATCACCAACTAAAGAAGCCCTTGATTACTATACAAATCCTCCTTGGTAGCAGCTTAAGACATGTATAGTGAACAGTATGGAGAATATGCATGATGATGTCAGGGCGTTAAGGGTTAGGTAAGATATTTATTACATCACTGAGTTAAAATAGAGGGAGAAGATTTCAATTCACACAAACCTCTGAATTCAGCAGGTTGTTCAGTGAAATTTGGCCCACTAAATTGACCAATCATAGCTCACATACTAACATAAATCTTTATTACAGAGCATCAGGCTTGACTTGTAAGAAATCACATGTACCAGTAATGATGATATGTTAATGATGACAATAATAATAAAATCTTCCTTTACCTCAGTGATAGCTGGAGCCTTGTTGATGTGTTCTGAGTATAAATAAATGGCATAGACCACTTTTGAGGTTGTCAAGAGTCCAGCTTCAAACTGAAACCAAAAAATAAACAAGTGTCATTAGAATCCCATCAACATGAGGCCTTACAAAATTTGAAAATGTTATTTCATTCTAAAAGCATTTTGGTAGTTTACAAAAAATCCATATACAGCACAGAATGGAGTGGATACTAGGCCTCATGCTTGAAAACTAAAGTTTTGTTTGGAAATTTCATCTGTGTTAAATTTACTTGCACACTAATGCAGAAATGAAGATTACCTGCAAATAGCTGTTGTCAACTTCATCAGCCTGAGCTACTGTATCCTGAAGAAACACAAATTAAAGACATGTCAAAAGAGTTGTTCTTGTGGGAAAATTACATGGCAAGGAAAACGCAAAAAAACCTTTTAACCCTTAAACTACCATTAGTGACCAAGACAGAATTTCTCCTTAATACATTAATACAATATCAAGCAGACAAGAGATGAGAATAAAGAAAAATATCATTAAGGAAATTCCTAGTTGATCCAAAAACAAATTATCTGAACTCACATCATAAGCATTGTATGGCACACAGTAAGGAGAATTACTAATAAGATCTTGGGAGTGAACGGTTTAAGTGTATTACCTCAATCAAGTCAGTGATGAATGACACATCAGCATCTTTAGGAAGGTGAGTGGCAGTGAGCAAGGCGTATGCTGCCCTGAAAACAGGAATAGAGAAACATACCTTTCAACCATAATTGGAAATATGAAAAACCAGTATATGGAAAATGAGCACTCAATTTATTTTCTTCCTCTCTCAAATTCTACTTAATACTAATGTCTGCTGTACCTCTGTTTCAAGCCAAATTTAAAACAACTGAAGGTTGGTTTCATATGTTGGGAAAATGCCAGATGATTTGCAAGTTCACCAATGATCACTATAACTGTGGAAATGTGGGACAGGTTGGAAAAAAGAAATGCTTGTGGGTTTTCCTGCTTGGCAGCCAATAATCCTAGACAGTCAGGGATGTCTACAATCTGGAGTTTTTGTTGGTCAGAAAACTCTGGGATGGGCAGGACATGGTGAAATCCCAGACAATTCCAGACAAAAAGAAAAAACAGTTATAATTAACCTTCTCCTTACCCAAGGATGCTGTCTTCATCAGAGTTGATAGCTGCCTTCACTGCCTTGAGCACTTCAGCTGCGTCCACTAAAATGCAAAAAGTCAATAAAGCATACAAAAATCAGTTTTTTTTTCCAAATTGAAAGCAACTGATCACTGCTCAACCACATTTTGAAGAACTCAACCTTGATTAAACAGTAGAGTAACACATCTCAATAGGCTGGAATCTCAAATCCCTAAATCTGATTGGCCTATCCCATGCTTGTTACCAGTGCAGCAGTGACATTTAGGAAATAGCAATTTGGTATAAAAAAGTGGTTAACTGGTCTAGGCTGGTCAATTGGGAAACTGTGCCTTAGTTTTTGAGGGAAGTGCAAGGCCAAAAGTGGGAGACTGCAGACACAGTTTTTCCTACACAGACCTCCTGCCCAATGCATAACAAATATATCATCAACACCATTATACCTTTCAGCCCAAAATAACTTTGTGCTGCCACTGCATAATAAAGTGTTCTCATGTCTGTTCCTTCTTTGGCAGCACTTGATAATGTGGCTTCTACTCCCTGAGCAGCTGGAAACTGCAGTCAGAAAAGACAAAGACAACTGTAATTTGACTTCCACAGACATATTGAGTTTGTCACTGAGGCTACAGGTGTTGTAATTTTGTGAGTCAAGTTACAGACATTGTCAAAAGCTTATCCCAGTTTACATTGCACGAGGCAACTAGGAGCATTATTGATCTCACAACAGGTTAGAAAAATTAAACAGTTTACTCCCAAAGCCGTGGTAAGGGTTATACATAATGTAGGTTGATAAGAAACAGGAGAGCTTGATCCTCTGCTTCTCTTCCCTACTTGTGACATAGAAATTATAAAAAAATCTTTAATAGAGCCAAGGAGCTCATCCTAGTTTCCACAGCATGAAGTGACTAGAAGTATTACTACTTTCCCCTAGATGGGATGCCTGTCCATTGCAAAGTTAACCCCCAGCATTTCATCAGGCTTCCCTGACAATTCACTGGCACCAGGTTATACTCCTGGGTGGAGAGAGGCGCTGTAAGAAGAAAGTGTTTTGCCCAAGAACACAATTACATGGCCAGGTCTTGAACCTGGACCTGTCCACCCAGGGGTCCAGCATACCCACCACAACCCCATCGCATCTTCCATGATGATGATGATCATGAATGTGAATATATGGAAATCATATATGTGAACTGTGGATTAAGATGTGAATATGAAAGTGATCTTGGCAGTAATGAACACTACTTAAGCAGTAGTGAAAATAAGGGCTGAAAATATTCAGGTCTGTATGGGGTAATAATGATAATGATGACGATGATCACGACACACAAAACAGCACAGTGCAATGTCACCAAAAAATAATTTCAGAAAACAAGAGAAAGATTTACAAACCTTGCAATTTGCAAAAAACTTTATGGTAGCTGCATAGAATATGGAGGTTACACTGCTACTATCAATGCTATCCTTAGCAAATTTGCAAACATCCTGTTGAAAAGAAATATAACACAAACAGTTACTAGATGTTCTCCACTAAGCCTGCAAGAACACTGACAAGACTTAATCAAAGTCACCTGTTGGCAACCAGCATTTAAAATCTGGTAGCCAACAGTCAATTTTCAGTGGCAATATATAGATTTAGCCAAGCCAAAAAGCGGAGCTCGCATTTTTTTTTCCCGCATGTCTCAAGGGCACAACACCTTGCCCTGGCCAGGACTAAAACCGGGGACTCTGTGAGCTCTGCTACTAGCAACTAGCTGTTTGTTATTTTTCACCTTGCTCTAATTTCTCAATATTCCAATAATCCAATGTACACATAGGTAATTTAAAATAAGCTTTCAGCTTTGTTCTCTTTTTCATCCTTCACTTAATTTCATTATTGCTTGACTGTTCAACTCTAAATACTCCATTAACACTTCAACCCCTAAGAACGACAAGCATCTAATTTCTCCTTACAATATCACCCCTGAATCACACATTACTGTCATGAGAATGAAAGAAATGATCACCAACTAAAGAAACTCTTGATTGTTAGACAAATTCTCCTTGTCCACACACTAGTAAATGTACAGAGAACAGTATGGAGAATATGATTACTGATATAAGGGTGTAAAGTGTTAAAAGCCTTTTCCTTCCTTATGGCTATCATCACTCAATTTCATACCTACAACAGAAACCTGCTGACTCAAACATCTTCACTGATTCACTTTTTTTTCTTTTGTGTTTATTCTCGTTCATCAGCTTTTGTGCTCATTGAGCCATTTTCCAATGTTTTCTATGAGATTTGCTCACTCAAATGGCCAGTTACAATCAAGAATTTTGCTCTCAGCTTATAGCCAATGGTTTTGCTTTTTCTTTTGGACAACACGAGTCTGTTGGAAGGTCTCTAACTTTTAGGGTCTCAGCTTATAGCTGAGATCGGCTTCTAGGTGAAGGAATATGGTATTTTAGTTTGGGAAGTTTAGCTAAACGCACTACGACTTTGTAAATGTTATCACATTCATATCTATCAAGGTTAAAGAGTGGAGTGTGTCAATCAGTTACATTCTGACACTATGTATATTGAGTGAAATTCTTACAAAAAGTTTGAGTTATAGAGGTAAACTTGGCTGGAAAAATGGGGTCAAATCCAAAGGTAATTGGATCTAGCTTTGAGTTAGTGGGGTTCTACTGCAGTGGCAAAAAATTATCTTTTTCACTGATAACACTTTCTATCAAAATAATTTTAAAAAAACTATCTGTACAATTCATAAACTGGATGATACCTGTGTTGGGGAATCTCTGCCTTCATCAGTTTTAAACCTATGATTGAATAGGTTGCTGTCTTTAGATCTTTGAAAGGTATAGCATTGTAGAATGTCTGTTTGAATCTAACTTGATCTTCAATGCTCAAAACACTGGACAGAGAAATTGCACTGGTACAGACTACGAAGGCCAACACCACAAGAAGACAGGCACCTGTAAATCATGAAAAAAGAAAATGGCAATTAAATCTCACTGGGTGACAAGCATCTAATTCCTCCTTACAGTAACCTAGCTAAATCAAGCATTAGGTCAAACGAAGACAGGAAATGATCTCGCTAAAAGGACCTTCTGATTGTTAAACAAAATCTCCTTGTCGATACCATAGGAAATGTATAGAGGACAGTATCGAGAATGGGCTTACTGATGTAAGGGTAAAAAGCACCAAGTGACAGAGATCATAAAATTACACGTATTTCACTATTTTACATAATTCTCCAACTAAATTTCCATCTATATGTTAAAATATAATATACGTGCAAAATAGTTTGTGGCTGGACAGCTGTTAAACTCTACATATATCTTTCAGAACTTTTGAGTTGAGTTGCTGAGTATTAAGCTCAAAGTCTTGTTTGCAAAGTTCAACCTGTCAGTAGTCTGCACCACCATTTCAGAAGAATTCTCAATTACATGTTCTTAAGTGGTAAAAAGTTAAGATACTACAAAATTTTTTGTGGGCCAAGCTGGTTTTCATGTAGATTTGGAGAATTTCTCCAGTTCCTTTGGATTATTCTTCTGCTACAAATTTCTCAATAAAAATTGTGTTTTTAAAGGATTTATCAGTCCCTAAAAGTAGAACTTGAGATTCTAGAACAACAATGAAATTCAGAGCATGGTAGAACCTCAATTCAAGAACACCCACATGACTTATCGTAGAGCCTCCCTGCACATATTTCTAATTGGAATAAAGGTTTTCGCCCATTAAAAAAGGTGACCCTGTGTCTGAAGGGAAAGGTTCTAGTGAACTACCAAGAGGAATCAAATTTAGCAGTAACAGAGAAATCAGTATGGGTCTTCCATAAATTTGATTTGGGTAAGGGAAATGAAACAAATCAATCCCTTGAGAATACTGTGGCGAGATAAAAGAAAAATACTACTATATGTACAATAACAGAAATTGATACGCCATGTCAAGTTATTCTCTCTCAGAAATAAACCGTATTTCGTCCGGTTATTCACTACTATGTGGAATCGATGGAAGAAGTAATTTTAAACGTTTCAGACAGACTGTTTTTCCTATAACAAGATCCTAGTGAGAGGGTAGACAAAACAAAGGCCAACCGCATTTATAGACTGCAAAAGCAACAATGAAAATCTCCACCATATTTTGAGCCAATTGCCAGAAAACTGACAATTGAAGTAGGCACTGCTTGTAATTTAATCAAATCCTTTGAAAAAAATTCGCTGCTTTGGAGAAGAATATTGAAAATAGTCAACGAACTGGACTACAGTAATTGATCAGCACAATTCGATTTCCCTGAGTTGGTATAAACACGCGACCAAATAGAAGGAATGATCTGTCTAAACATTCAAGATACAGCTGCCTCCTTAATCATGCAGCTCCGAAAACAATAGATCTACGGTAAAACGATGATATACGATCACTTCTATAGCATTTTTCAATTAAAATGTGTTTCACGAACCTCGTGCAGCCATCTTAGAGACGTGTCGTACAAAGAGAGAAAGAGGAGATGGTGAATGAAACACGTGATAGAAAGGAACTCTGTACCAGGTCCTTACGCCTTCCCTTTCTCCTTAACCTTTCATAAAGACCGAAATACGTCTCTCAAATTCGAACAGATCAGCGTAACAAATATATATTAAGTGTGTTTGTTAGATTTTATTTTGATTTCCTAAATTAGTTTTTCTGAAAATTTTCCTTTTGAAAAGAACTGTTTTGTACCTTATGAGAAGTTTAGTACCCAGACCTCTCCGCATTAGAATATCGCCTGGCGGTAAACAGTAAACAGCGTCTTGTCAAAATGTTATCTCGTTTGTTTCGCATCAATAATCCTTCTTGCGGTGAATCTAAAGCAGAAGGCCAAGAAAGCACATCTTCTTTACTTTTTGATGCAGATATTGTTACTGGAATTGATAAAATCCTGTTGTGTGGGCCGCCTGAAGTTGGAAAAACCTCACTTCTTTTCGAAATGGCTCTGAGCTTTGCTGACGAAGGAAAACACGTCCTGTTTATTTGTCCCAAAAAACTCTCAAAACTTCCTTTGCTCGCTCATGGAAGAACTCAGCCCTCAAGTGTTACTTTGAAGAACATACAGATGGTCTATTTGGAAACGAAAGAGGAATTTCTGAATTACATGGCGTCTATCCACATGTCGACAGCTAGAGTTTCTCATGCTATCATTGTAGATAATATTGATGCCTATTTTCCCGCCAATATGAGAAACGAAGATTTGTCGTTAGTTGCCAAGATTTTCGCTCTTACTGTGGATGCTTTCCTGTTTCAAAAGTCCAAGCAAATGTAAGTTTAGCCCTTAACTTTCAAGATCTGATTGTTAACTATCCCCAATATATAGCTGTTACGCATTTCATTGTGAATCAGTAACGAGAATTTGGTGTTAGATCCAGATAACAACTCCTACCTGATAAGTTTGAGTACTGTCATTACTCGTGTACTGGAGTTACATGTTTACCACTTCAAGGAGTTAACGGTTTAAGGAGCCAACCGCAGTTTTTGTAAACTAACCACAAAGTTGTTGCAATGCACATCTTTTTCCTGAAAAAGGTCTGACTCTTGTCTTTTGAAAGCCCTTGTAACTTCATGGACCTGCAATCATTACTTGAAATCTAAATGTTAGGTTTAGTATTGGAGATCTCAGCTCAAATACCAGTCTATTTTGTTTCATTACATGATATTTTTATGGACCCCTTCATATTTTGAATTGAAGAATTATTGATGTCTTGATCTTCAGTGAAAAAATGGCAAAAAATACACTTTTTCCAAAACCATGATTTCTTATAATAATACATTTGACTCCCATTATTGTGGACACCCTTTGTGGGAGATTTGGTGTCTTTAATAGCAAGAGTCTGTAATTGCAAGGTAAAAGAGAAAAAAAATTGTTTTGTCTCAAAGGGAATGAAATAATAATTTACAGTTCTAAGTAAACAATAAAGTTTCTAACATGGTCTCACAAAGCGAAAAAAGATACGGCTGCAAGCAGGAAATCCTCATGTTCGCACCCAATTGAAGAATGGTTTCTTTATTTTCCTGTATCGCAATGTCACTTTATGTTATGTGAGTCAGGATTTTGGATGAACTACTTAAGTGTCCACTATGGTGAGAGAAAAAACAAGAGAAATGTCGCACTGAAGGGGCATGAAAGTGTCTGCATTTCTGTAATAGTAAGAGTCTGTAATAAGAGACATTTATTTCATTCATGTACTTTCTTTATGTGTTTTGCTGGGAGGGCTGGCTCTTGTCAGCAATGGCGGGGTGTCCCTAAGGTGTCCATCAAGCAAGAGTCAACTGCCATTCTGAGAAATGGGACCCAGACTTTTTCAAAATTTGATAATGTGTCTATGAAGCTATGGTTGTTGTAAAGCTGGATGATTTTCTCCAACACATAAATCACCAATTAGCATATGGAGAAATTCCTTTTTTTTAAACTTGTATGCCAGAAAAAAATGATTTGGTGGATTGTTGAATATTTACAATTTAACCATTTGAAACCTAATGCATGTCTGCATATTCTCCATACTGTTCTCTGTACATTTTCTACAGTGCTGACAAGGAGAATTTGTTTTAACAATCAAGAGCTGCTTTAGTTGGTGATCAATTCCTCTATTCTTATAACTTCTATGTTTGATTCAAGAGTGATATTGTAAGGAGAAATTAGATGCTGGTCACTCTTAGGGATTAGAGGATTAAATTCAATTTTGCTTCTCCTATAGAGATCAGCCCAAAGTCAAACAATCTGGCATGCTATTGATGTCAATCACAGTTCCCACTGACACTAAATCAGTTCCAAGACAATCATTTTATGAACGCTGGGTACAGTTTGTCCTTCCGATCCAGGTGAAGGCTGCAAATCTCTATGAGCTTTCAGTGCTACCTTCCAACTCAAATGATGGCTCTTCATTGGCTAATGTTGTTTACAAAATAGCAGATCAGAATATTGTTGTTCAAGACATTGATTATTGTTCACAATCTGATGGTTCGTCAACAGAAATGACTTCTTGACTTCTTCCAGTAGAGGCATGGTGATGGAGAAAACAGGTTGGTGACATTTTCTCAGTTTGTGATTGATGTATGTAAACTTTTTTTGCCGCCAGTATAACGGTTGAAAACTGTGCGTATCAACGCAGGCCTGGTATCACTGCTTCCTGAAATAAAACCCCTTTGACTTGGTAAATTGCAACGAGGCGGAAAAAGCAACTTCCTTTATTTCGTTTCCGAGCTCAAAATTTACCATCTTCCTTTTTCATTTCACTCAAACGAGACATGGAGGACGTGTTTAACAGATGAAACTTGTAATGGTCCAATTCACTATAGAGTTCTATTGTAGCTCACTAGTTGAGCATCTGAGCGCGGAATCTGAAAGACTGAGGTTCGATTCCTCATGGGGTCTCTGAATTTTTCTTTGTCCAACACAAGAGAAAAAAGAACTTTAATTGAATCGCAATTTCTTGTCGTAAGTTTCTCGAATGGCGACTCTCTACTTCTGAAAGCCGTACCTAATGGAAAAAATTGTTGTTCATTAGATCAATTGCAGGGTTATACAAGTATTTCAAGTCCTGAGAAAAGCTGTAACAGCCTACGTGTAAAATTATGGTTATTTGAATATGGAAGCGATCCTCGCAGTTATGAAATAAGGCCTGAAAAAAATTCAGGCCTGTTCGGAATTCAGGCTCATTTTCATTACAACTTAGTTAAGTGGTGTTCATAACTACGCAGATCACTTCCATATTCGTTTCGTCAACCGCAGTTCACAGAAGGTGGCAAAGGGTTTTTGCGTGACCCCAAAATTTGCAGAGTGACGCGTGATTAAACCTAAATTATCCGCGTGACGCGGGACTGCACACGACAACATGATGCGTGATTTTCTATTTTACAAGCCCGTAACGCGTGATTTATAAGACTTACTAATTATATTCCCGTGATAATGAACGTTCTTTGCCCTAAGAGGAAACCTATCATTCAAAGCGAATAGAGTCTTAACAAAGATCAATAAACCGCGGCAGCCGTGACACTATTTCTGGTCTTTTCCGTCCTTTGCTGACCTTCGCTTGACCTCTGATGTCTTTGATGTTCGTGGTAGGTCCAAACAATCGTAACACAATAAGCATAAGTTACTAAAGTTAACATTTGCACAAGGACTATGACCATTAGTGATATTTTTGTCGACCGCCTGGTCGTGGTGGGGCGCCAGATCTTATCCAGAAAGACCAGAAAGTATCTGAATCCATCGAATGAAAGATCTGAAAGAATGTCGACCTAAACGACTGAAACGGTAAAAGACGTTAGAATTTTGGTATCATTTTATGCCTAGCGAGAGGATGGCGATGTAAGCAATGAGTTAGTACACGAGGAAAACATTTTTTAACTTAAACGAATTCAAAAGCCACGTTATATCCTTTACTGGCATAAAAAAGTTGCCGTACATAAGAGGATTGGGCAAAGCATTGACATAAATATTGCCTGTGTTTCCGAAAAAAAGAGTTAAAGTGGCGTAGACGTCTACTCAATCTCAGAGCCACTAGTGACGGCAAATCATGTGAAAGATAGCCAAATTAGTAAAGTTCATACTAGTTCTCACGAGATAGCTAATGGGCCATATATGGGTTCAAACAACGAAAACATTGTCAAAACTATGACTATTTACTTATTAAAGAACATACTATGACGACTATGATACCAAGACGAACACCTCAGATGTTGAATTGAAAAAAAAATTCTTCGTGAACAGAACTTCGAAGGTGAGACAAACAACAAGCTATTGGATGAAGAGGATACTCAACGAAGCACCTTGAATTGTAAATACCTAAGATTTATTTTTATTGCGCTCTATAATTGTAAAGTACGATTTGATATTGCGATACGAAGCCCGAGAAAACGCTCTCGGAGCGTCTAGTTTCAACAACTAAGTCGTCTTTATTTGTCTAACAAAAAGCAATATGACAAATGAAACGCGATTCGTTCCAGTATAAAAAACGTTGGATTCAATTTAATTTTTGACAATACATCCAATCGTGATGAAAGATAAGTTTTTTCGTTTGTCTCACAATGTAGTCACGTGTGATGTAGATCGCGACGTTTCGACTGCATACTGCTAGTCTTCTTCAGGCGATGAGGTCGTTAAACTTTACTTCGTTTATTGATCGTGACCCTCAAAGAGGCAATTCATTTAAGACTTCACCGTAACAATATCAACAGGGATGGTGGAATAGAAATTGCAGAAGCGTGGATGCCCACGATCAAAAAAACAACAACAGGAGAGCCGTGCGACAGACGGACTGCCGAGTGAGCAAATCACTGAGTGAAACAGCAGGGATCGAAATGCACCAATCAGAGCTGTTGAAAAATAACTAATCACAGCAGAGCATCATGCTTTATAAGATCACGCATGACCAGTTGACATCATCGCCTGAAGAAGACTAGCAGTATGCAGTGGAAACGTCGCGCTCGACATCACATGTGACTACATCATGAGACAAACGAAAAACTTAGCTTTTATTGTTATTCACTACGATGAATAACCACAACTTTTTTTACGAAATACATCCGATAGGTTAAAATCTTAAATACATCCGATTGGTTAAAAATTATCCGTGATGTGTGATCCGCGTGATAGTGATTCTGAACTTCCCCCCTTTGCCATTCTTTCACATATATGATTTTCATTATTTTAAAAACGTTAATTTTTATTATCCGTGATGCGTTGATGAATGCAAATTTAATATAGAAATTTTCCGCTGCTAACAACGTGATCTGTGCTCACAAATAGAGACGTGAAAACCAAAATTGAAAAGAACAATCTTGGAAAATCGAAAACGACAACTTTTTTTGTTGTTTATTGATAAAGTCGACTATTCTTGTAGTAAAGGCCTATGGTGTGTCTGTAATATACAAAATAATACATGGTTGCTGGTAGACGTGAAATTTTTTTTCTCGTGTTCAACTCGAACGTAAGAGATATCGATTTGAACACCAGGAAAAAAAGTTCCATGTCAACGCGCGCTCGTCTTTATTCTCTGTTTAGTCGCGTGGTGCAATTAGAATTCGCGCGTAATCAAAGCCGATAGGCTCGCGGATTGCAGTTTATTGCTTAAAGTGCCACAGGTGGCTCTGATCAAAATCGGTCCTCACGAAACACTTGCCTATTCAGATTGTGCGCGTTGTTACCAAACACTGCTTGAAATTCAAATTTTTGTGTGTAATGTAATTCACAGGTTTGGTAATTACATGCTTTAGAGGATGAAAGCGTTGGATTTTAGCCAAGAATTGCCAAGACTTCCATTTTATATAGCACCCAGCGCAGTGCTGTTCAGATGTTGGAAATTTCACGCGGTTGAAACAGCGCAGGGACATGACTCATATAACGATTAGGTTGGGATCTCCGCCGGTTGGGAGCAAGAATATTCGAGAGATTATTAGAATCAAGACTCCGGAAAGTTTTGCTGTCGATACAAGAGAACAGGATATTTATATGGCTGATTCAAATTACAAAGACAACTCTAAGCAGGTGGTGCACGGTATCTGTGAAAATTTGAAACCTTTTGAGGGGTCTCCTTCAAATGTAGATGGAGACGAAAATGTTTACGATTACGTTCGTAATGGTGCAAGATCAGGAGATTCAAAACAATTTAATGCTCTTTGTGTAAACACAGAAAATTGCACAGAACGGAGTGGAATGGTTTTAGAGAATGGAAAGGAGAGGACGAAATGTGCGGAAAATTTAGAGACGCATTGCAATAGTTGCGGATTGAGAGTTACACGTGAAGAGGTTGAATCGGAACTTTACATAACACGCAAAGATTTAGCGACTGTGCAAAGCCAGTTGGAAACGTTTAAAATCAGGCTTGAAGAGGAACTAGTTGAACGATTTAAACTCGAAGAAGAGCTGAAATCTGAAGCGGAGTCTCACGAGAACGAATTGAAAATTTTAAAGGAGAAAATTGATTTTCTGGAAGAAAATGAAAGCGAGAAAGCTCGGCGGATTGAAGAGTTAGAAAGCCAGATTGTGGTTTATAAAGAAGAGCATGAAAAAAGCTGGGAGGAAGTGGAAAGTTTGCGGAGTTTTGTCGGTAAATATCAGAGTGATTTGAGTAAGTTGAGAGTTGAAGCCAACAATGCGAGTGATCAAGCAGTCGAAGCGATCAACGAGATGGAACTGTTGACAAAGAAATCGGAGAAAAACGAACAGGAGAAAGTTAAGATTAAGAAACAAATGAAATCGGAGATGGAAGGATATTGGGAGGAGGTGCGAGAATTGAGAAATGTTTTAGAAAACTGGGAAAAGTTAGATGTCGAAAGGAAAACGCGCATTCAATCATTAGAAAACGAAGTTGTGTCCTATAAAAGTCTCGTGAATGAACTAAAAGAAAATCTTGCTGATCAAAGCAACAGAGCCAGCGAGGAAAGGAGTAAGGCGAAAACAGACTCTACCACAAATGAGCATTTGTTATTGCTCTGTCCAGAATTGAACGAGATCTTTCGGGAACATCTCAACAGCCATGGAAAGTTTTCTGAGCTGTCGCTCGTTCTGGCAGCAACTCAGAAAGATCTGGAAGAGGCGAGGAATCGAAGCCAGAGTCAAAACCAGATTCTACAGCAGTTTAAAAGAGATTACAACGATTTACACGACACTATGACAGCATTAAACGAAGAAAATCGTCACTTGAGGAACAGCTTGGAGAAGAAGTGCGTGGAGGTAGCGGATATCAGACGAAAGTTTCTCGCTTCAGAGACGCAGGTATCGTGGCTCAAAGAGGCATTAGATATTGTTGACAAAGCCACGAAAAAGTCAAGCTGAAAGCCAATATATTTATGTAGTTAACTCGGCTACTGGAATGTAAAGTAGCGTTTGTTTCACACGGATATCAAACCTCTTTTGTAAACTTTCTTGAAAAAGGAAAACTCGTCATCTATTTTTCTAAGATATTTTATGTTTGTGGAATTTCAGATACTCGTAATATTTATGTTTTCATCTGCTTACGTTTAAGCCTTTTTCATAATTAATG